AAATGGAAGATACTTTTCTCTCAGTGTATGTGAGTTTCATAGTAATCCATATCTTAACAGAAATAACAATGTTTTATGGTACTCATGCTTTTTTCTCATCAAATAGTTTCTGTTTTCTTAACAGAAAATTAGCATTTAGTACCACTAAGTCCCTATATTTGCCTTTCTTAAAACATGACTTACCTAGGTAGTTATGCCATGATTATAGAGTTGATTCCCTCTCATTTTGACAAGTTTCATTACTGATAATATATTTCCATTTAATCTACCCAGTTAAACAAATTTTCAGAGAACTGTTTGAACTCCTGCCAAGTTACTGTAATGGAATACCCTTTTATGACCTATGTTCTATTGTCACAGTGGTCAATTATTTGTCATAGAATGAAGAAGTTTCAAAAAACCCTGAGCATGCAGTTAGCATTCATTAGTACTTATATTTGCTGATGTTGGAATATACAAGTGAGAATCAAAAGATTCATTTCATTATCTTTTCTGATGGCCAATATAAATGACAATGATAAATTTCTCCTGTGATAAATTTCACATTGCCACCTATAGCTGTAAGAAAGTCTAAAAAATTAAGTATCTGGAAACATAGAAACAGGATTATCAAGATTATCTTAAACCAACCCTACTTCATCTCCTTGATTAAGACCCACTGTGACTTTTACAAAGTTAGGATTCTGTTGACAAGGAATAGGTGGGGTTGTTGAACAATTATTGGGTATCTATCTGCCACACTGTCCCACCTCAAGCACTCAGTTTCTCTCTGAGGAGGCAACCACTCTTACAGTTTCTATTTATTCCCCTAGACTTCATTTATACATATTGTATTATATATAATGTATTATTTTTACCCAAATGGTGGCATACTATTCATATTGCTCTGTACTTGTATTTTTCACTTAGCAAAATAGTTGAAAACTTGTTCCATTTTGACGTATAATAAAGCCACCTCCTTCTTTTTAATAGATGAAAAATATTCCATTGTATAAATGTAATGTGCCATAATTTCTTTATCCATTCTTGTAAGAAAAGACATTTTGATTGCCTTCAATCTTTGCTATTATAAAAAATACTGTATTAAACAGCCTGGTACATATATCATTTGACATTGTAAATTAAAGCTTACAAGTGAAATTGCTGATCCATATAAACTTTGGAATTGGCTGCTGGCATTTTTGGGGGGAATCACATTAATTTATGGATTAAAATTTAAAGAGTATCACATCTTTACTTTAGAGTCTTCCCACTGAGAGCAGACTATGCCTTTTTATTGCATCATATTTTACTGATTCTAATATACATGTTTAGGCATGGTGGCTCATGCCTGTAATCCTAGCACTCTGGGGGGCCAAGGCAGGAAGATGGCTTGAGATCAGGAGTTCGAGACCAGCCTGAGCAAAAGGGAGACCACCATCTCTAAAAATAAAAAAAAATTAGCCCAGCGTGGTGGCACAGACCTGTAGATCCAGCTACTCTGGAGGCTGAGGCAGGAGGATCACTTGAGCCCAGGAGTTGGAGGTTGCAGTGACCTATGATGACACCACTGCACTCTACCCAGGGGTGACAGAGAGAGACTCTGTCTCAATAAATAAATAAATAAAAATTTTAAAACTAATATACACACTTAAACATTTCTAAACAAGGATGCACCTGATAATCTAGAACACATTTTTATTACTGTCAGCAGGTGACAATTTGATAGTAGTTATGTCTGGTGGCATGACAGGTAATAGCCATTCCTGGTTATTTCAGACAAACCATTTAAAGACCATCTGAGGAAGACATATGAGTCATGTTGTTAAAAAAAAAACCTTCTGTGACACCTTCTGGCAAGATCAGGAAAGTACAAGCATCAAAACAAAGGGTCAGTGATCTCGAAGAAAATCTTTTCAAGAAATGCTACATCATCAACGTTCTTAATGGCACTAAGGACAATTCAGTGTGGGAAAAACACCTATTTTGAAGACTCCAAGCCAAAAAGTGATTTAGAAGAGTCAGATTCTAAATATGAGGAGTTAGTAATACCTTAACTGATATACTGTGTTTGTATTTTCCTTTTTATAACTGCAGAAGAAATATATGATCAAATATCAAATAAGTCCAAGAGTTCTTTCAGTAAATACAAAACAAAAATTCTAAGTCCTAAGAGATTTTGCATCACAGGTATTGGCAGTTTTGCTTAGTGTTATATTTTATAAAATGCAATTTATAATTAGTAGCATCTCAGACTTCATGAAATACTCTAAATCTTATTTTATGTTCCTCAGGAGTATTTTAAAGTTTCTCTCATATAGATTTTACACATTCTTGTTAAGACTATTTCTACGTATTTTATCTTTTCTTCCATTACATTTTCTCATTGGAAGGCCATTTATTTTTGCCTATTTTGTAAGCAGCCACTTTACTGAATTCTCTTACTATTTATAATTTTTCAGTGGATTCTTTTGGGTTTTCCCAGTATACAATGAAACAGAATTTAAACTCAAATTATCTTAAACTATCTGTTGGAATTTAAGTTCAATGAAGGTAAAGATCGTCTATTACTTTTTACTTGTCTATCTTCAACACCTAGCATATTACCTTGCACAAAGCAGGTGATCAATACATATCTGTTAAATGAATTATATGAATGTATCTTACTTTGTAAAACTTACCCCAGCCCCTCCCCCAGCAGATGTTGAGTTTAGTAAAAAAATATGTCTCTTTCTCAAATATAAATGAGGAAATAGTATTCCTGTTTACTTTCCCCCTACATACATACATACAAATCCTATAAGAAATTTGATATTTTATAATCAAATCAATACATGTTTGGTTACAACTAATTCTATTTTAATCATTAAAAACCCTAATTATGAAATAAATGTTTTACTTTAAACACTTACCTTTTGGATCTTAGATCTGATGAATCAAACTGGATATTCATTGGTCCAGAATTTACTTCATGATCTACCTCAGAGATGAGAAGATGCTTAGAATCACTATCC